GTATTAGGCCTATAATATGTTAATTTTGTTTTTTTTTCCCCCATGGGGACATTTATGTATTTGATGAAATATTTATTAAAACTTTATTAATTACATTATTTATTTATTTCATTATTTATTGCATTTTGAATAAAACAGCTCTCCATAGCCGCCATGTTCAGTAGGGCAGGATGGAGCAAACCAATAAACAAATGGAGGAGCTAACAAGTCAGCTAAGTCTGTTAAACACAACCTTTTTCACGAGAACACACCAGGAGAAAGTTTAACTAAAATRACTTGGACCTGATCAGATGGACGTGAAGAGCAGCAGACCAAAGAAGAGGGAGAGTTTACACTCCGTCTTTTTCCTGGACCTGGATAAACAATGCTAAGCTAACCGCTAGTAGCGAGGCTAATGCTCTGTTTAGCTTTCTGCCTCRTATTTCAAGCATCACGATCTGATCCAGCACAGACTAAAACAGGTAAGAGAAAAGCTAGAAGACTTTTGTTGTGCTTATTAATCATAGTATATTATTTATTAATGGTGAACACAAAATAATAAATGTTGTTTATGTTTGTTTCTTCTTTCGGCTGCCTTTCATTTTATTATATCTTTTTTCTTCTGTTGTGCTTAGTTTGTTTTTTAATGAACTAAATTCATTTTAAAATAAAAATACAATAGTTTACCTTAGAGATGCAACAATTTGTTGCTATTAAAATAACATTATTCTATATTAAATATAAATTAGAAAACTCACTTGTAGCCATCTCCATATTGACTTAAATTTGTGCATTTATTGTTTTAGGTTTATGACATCATCTTGAGACATTCAGAAAAATCTGATCAGAGCTACACTGCTGCAGGCAGACAGGTTCCTGCAGGAATGTTATCTGAAGCAGCTCTGAAGACCATGGAGGCTCAACAGGACCAAGAAGTCTGATGTAGTTCAGGAGCTGCAGTGGTGGCTCTGTACCAGCTGCTCTTCATGGAGAACAATCTGCAGGACACCTTCAGAGACTGWGACTCTGCTGAAGATTCTCATCACATCTCCTCTGACCACAGCTGAATCTGAGAGGAGCTTCAACACTGAAGAGAATCCAGACTTTCCTCAAGTACAACATCACCTCACTGCACTGACCATGCTCTATAGAAGAATCTTGTTAAAACATCCCTGACTTTAACCAGTCATGAAGAAATTTGCTTCTCAGTAACAGAAGAGCAAAATGTATGTACAAAAAATAAAAACTACAACTGTTTTATTATTTTGATTTGTTTAATAAATACACTGGTGTGACACAACTTAGTAC